CTGGAGGAAAAACTAATGTGTGATCATCTAATTAAGCGCTGTACAATAATGCATATGAGCAATTGAAGATTGCAATGGCAACCTTACGTCTGGCTTTTCATATCTTTTTTTGAATGTAATTAGAAATGGAGGATTGAAACAAATTATTGCAATCAGTCCTTTGCTATTATAGTCATTGAGTTATGCAGTTGCTCTCGAGAAATTAGCTTCATTTAAAATGCTCTTAGTATTTATGTCCCGTGCTTTTGTTGGAAGGCCATTCCAGAATCCAAATTGCTCTTGTAGTAGGGCACATTTTAGCATTCAGTTCAAATACGCTATAGCTGTCCAGGTTCTTTGTCTTTTTTCCCTTCCCATTTGCTCCTGTCTGTGCCTATCTTTATCTCAAATCTCTTTTTCTCTTTTCCCATGCCATGTGAGCAGACAGCAGCCCCATTCTTTGCTGAGCTGAAGTTCTCCTCTATCTCCTCTCCTTTTATAAATAGGCTTGCCAAGGCTTTAGTTTCTCAAATATTGATGACCAGAATTGTAAAAGAGCACCAGTATTTCGTTGTCTGAATTGCAAATACCTCATGGACACAACAGACTGGTACCTTATAGTCACTTGTGATCAAGTAGTGTATAACCAAGTCCAACACAGTATTAATCTTCCAGCAGAAGCATTTCCCATTAGCACCCGAGTGTCTTGCCTTGTAATTTTTGTATTTTGCATTTTTAACTTGCTTTTGCCACACACGGTCTCAAGCCTACCCAGTTCCCTCCAATGTCCCATTTCTGTGCCGTACTGCTGGCAGTGCCTCATTTTGTCACCAGCAGACTTCATTGGCACATTCCTAAGGTTTGTGCCAAGCTCCCTAGTGAGGTGGTTAAACTAGATTTCTCTTTTTTTTTTGAGAATGAGTCACTCCACAACTAAACTCCTGCCATCCACTTATGATTTCCATTTTTCTACCCCTTATTGCTGTCTGCCCATCAATCAGCTCCTTACCCACCTCATAATTTCTGCATGTGACTTGATAGCCTTCAATATCCCTTTACTACTAGGCTTTTTAAAAATGCAATGTATCAGGCTGGTAGTCCTCCATGATTACAATAAAAAAAAAAGAGCACAAAGGGAGAGGTGGACAGAACACATGGAGGCAGAAATCCTGGAAGGTATAAATAACCCTGTGTACCAGTAACTCGGTGTGGCTGTGTGTGGGTTGCTTCAGCTCTGCATTTCGGACCAATCTACCTCCCGCTGCAGAGCTGTTGTGCTCCGGGGATTGATTGAACCTCTGTGCTGGGCTTCCATAGCTCTTTTCATGTCCAAAGAGCTACTGACAGTATCATTTAGCAGCCAGAAAGAGCCAGCAGAAGTCCATCACCACAGGACACTTGTCATTTTGGACATCCTTTTTCAGCAGCTTGATTTGAGCTTTGTCTATTTTGTCTTTGCCAAGTGGTGCAGAGATGGGTGGCTTCATTTGAAGGCTTTAAAGATACTTTCTGATCTTGAAAGCCGTGCTCCTGAAACACAGAGGATCCCACGAGAATTCAGCAGCGTTGGGAGCTGGAAGCTGGTAGGGTTCCCTTCCCCGTGAGACTTTTAGTCTCCCAATGAATAGTTTTAATTTTCCACTGAGATATAAAGAGTTAGCTGCTTGACAGTTTTCCTACCGAGTCCCTGAATAGGAAGCCTAGAGTGTGTGTGGGCTCCAGAGTATGGGAAAACTCATGAGTAAATGGATGAAAATATTTTTTATTTTCCACACTCACCCTTCTGGTAAACCAGTCAGAACTGAAACTTTTAATGCAAATTCCTTCTGAACTGGTGACTTCAGTGCAAAATCAAAGAATGAGTTTGAGGGTAGGGGGAGTTTTCCTGGTGCTGTTCCAGTGGCTGGGAACACAATAGTTTGCTTCCATGGGGTTTTAATAGGCATTG